TGTGATCCCATAAACTCTAAAGTATTTCTGTCAAGCCTCCAGTTGTGTTTCAGCAGCTGTTTTCTGTGTCCTAAAGCACTCTTCTGGGGCTGGGAAGAGTACCACTGCCGCTTGTCATTACTGTGCTCTTTGCTCCTTGTTTCTCGTGATCTGACATTGCCAACAGACTTCCCTCCTGCAACACTGTAGGTTAAAAAGAACAGAGCAGCATTGAAGGGCCTCCTTCTCCTCTTCGCTGCATAACACAGGCACTTGGGTGATATGAAGAGCTAACCATCTCTAACAACACACTCCTGTTTACAGACTGGATCACTCTCTCCATGAGGAAAGCCAAGCCTCATTAAGGGCTATTTTCCAGGAGTAACTGGCATCTCCCGACAGAGTCTAAAGCAGATTAGGACCTTGGACACGTCTACAAAGACATATCCAGCAATTGTGTTCAGTGTTTAGTTCTTTTGATCTTCCAGCCCTTACATGCTTGAAAGGGCTGTAAATACGGACACTGGAGATTTAACTGAGGAAATAATAATAATAACACAATAATTAAACTCTTAGATGGCATTTTTTATCTTCAGCTGTCCAGCACTTTTTCATTGGAAATAAAAAGCACAAAGCCAGAGGACATGATGCAGCCTTGCAGGAAGACCCCCTGCTGTCACACACATCAAATCCCTTTGATAGCTGTACCCAGCTCCAGGTTAAACGTGATTTCTTTTCCTTCCCTAAGAAACTCTTTCAGGACCTAACTGCTGCAATGATTAGTGGCCAACTTAATTTTGGTTATGCATTTTTCACCCCAATCTCCTTTATAAGTGGAAGTAACTACATGCCCTTGCTTTTTCACTCTCCTCCTGTACATGCTTACAGGCAGTTACGAAGGCCTGCCTCTTCTTTCCAGGCAGAAGATAAGCTCATAGTGCCTATTCTCACAAGTTCTCTATTCTCCAGGTGTTCTTGCAGCACTTCACAGCTTGCCCCATGGGAAGCCACCCTTTTGCACTCATCCTTACATTCTTCTGCACAATCCACGTTGTCTTAATGGCACCACATCTGTACAGTAATAAAAAAAGACATTCTTTCTTAGCCAGGAGTGATGAACTATACAGCCCTGCCACTCTTACGTGGAGACAGGAAGCTCTGATCTTTACTGTGCTTCCTCCTGCATTTTGCTGGCTTAGATTCAGCAGGTAAACTACCACCAGCTGTGATCAAAGGCAGGGCATCTGTTTCTCCGGTGAGCTGGTAGCTATTCTCTACTCACAAGAGGAGACCCTACTCTCTAGCATCCACAAGCTATCCAGGTTGCTGTCCAGGTTGCTATCCAGGTTATGATGACAAGAGCTGAGAAACCATTGTGGCTTGCCTCCAATCTCCTCTGGAGAGTTCTCAAATAAGCTGGCAACCGGCTATTGCAAGTTCCAGTAAAAAGGAAAAGAGTAGTAGCAACACAATGAGGGTACATGTAATAATAATACCCTCTAATTATTTAGTTCAGCTGTGTCCACAACTTGAAAGCCATAAGTTACTTTTGTGGGTATTTTTCTGCAAGTAAACAAACACAGTATGAACTATTTCCAGTCACAGTCTGGCCCCTCTAGCACTTATGACGAAGCATATCTGGGAGCCAAAACAAGCAAACAGCATGATTCATTCATCCCACAGCTTAGCAGACAGATAAATCCTCTATAAGCAAGGCAAAACAGGACATCTAAGTTTTTAAACAAATAGTAGCATTCAAGCCCCTTTAGACAGAAACACTGCTAATGCCTCATTATCCACAGAGAAATGGATGCATATCTGTGAAACTAAAGTACATATAAGTGATGTGCCTGTGGCATTGATCAACAGATGACAAACCATTAAAGAGAGTGAAAAAGAGAGGACCTTTGTTTTGCATCAGGATTGAGGCATTGACTGTTTGAACACACTACAAAGGAGTTTGCTGTGCATACCTGTACCTGTCGTCAGATTCTGAGACAATTTAGACTGGTGCAGAAACCTAAAACTGCCAGGAGGGACACACAGCTATGAGAGCCAAACAATACTTTGCAATTGAAGATTCAGTAATGGATGAATTTCCCAGGTTCTAACAACCGAGCTTGGATCTATGTGAGTTTTTAAAAGATTCCCTGTTATTATTAGATGCATGGAAGATACTGACACGTCCTTCTTCAAAAAATTGACTGGTGCTATATTTCATCTGCTTTACTAAGCTCTTTACATCGTATATACTATCTTATGTATAAGCTGAGACAGACTATACTTTCCAGTGCAATGAACACACTAAAGAAGACTAACGAGCTATATATAATTTTAGTGGTTTCTTATCAACAGCCTGTTTGTCCACTGGCAGCAGGCTGGTGTTAGCGATATTTCATCTGCACATAGCAGTATTTCCTTTCCACTTCTGTTACCTAATAGTGCCTGGTAAGAGCAGGCAGCCAGTGGATGCAGTGGAAGCTATCTGAGCGCTGTGAAAGGGCTGGCAGCCCCCCCTGCCTCATGCATGTCTGAGACCCCCCAGCTCACAGACTTCCTCCTGGTCCTGGGGGAGCTCTGTGTGCTTCAGCTGCATACATACAGCAGCTGGCTCTTTTCTTTCTGTAGTAGCTGTGGCACTTCACGGCCACATGGTCCATGGGCCACAGACATTTTTTCTAAGGCATCAACCAGATATTTTCAGCCTGCCTCATTTGTTGGATTCCGTAATACATACCTTTGTACCTGCCTCCCAACCTCTTACAGTACTTCAACTTAGCATGAGCCTGTGTCCTTGCTCTGCCCAAGGAACTGCCAGCATTAGAGCCATTTCCCAAGAAAACCCAGCAGCTTCAGCTATGAAAAGGATTTCTGTGGTCTTCAGTCCATTTCTTTTTATAACCTCTCTGAAAACCTGAAATCCAGTGGTCCACAAACAATTGTTTCTGTAATCCAGGATGGATTAGTCTTACTTTGTCTTAAACTGGTGGAAAAAGACAGGCACCTCTAGAGGGAAATTTATCCCATTTAGGTTAGGCACTGGAGATACCTTTTTTCCCACTGAGTGGAGGGGAAACATCAACGGCTTTCTTGGGCCAGCTGCACTCTTTTTGGCAGTGTGAAGGCTGGATGAGAAGTACCCCACCCTAGGCTATATTTAGCAGCTCTGAGGTTACAAGTGAACAGGGAGTTCTCAGTTCCAAAACTGAAGACAAATTCCTTACTTTGTTTTGCTGTTCTGGGCCTTTTGCTTTGCAGATTTGAGTCAGAATAATCATCAAACGCTTTCATCAGCTATTCTCATACTTAAAGCATTATTCCTGGCAATGGTATTCCACGTTTCTTGTCCTCCTGCACACACAGCTGCCCTCCCCAGCTACTAGAATAAAGTAAGCTTTTAAAAGTAACCTTCTTATCTTGATCTGCCAAGACCAGCTCTGTGTGTGGATCCAGTTCTTATTCCCATTTTCTCCCACGTTTATTTGGAAACCAGTAGATCTAATTATTTGGTGCTCTCCAAATTCCATGGTCCCCTTTTTTTAGGTGCTACTCTCATCAAATATTAATTACACTGCCTATTTGGATGAACAGGTGACACCAAGGTCACACATGCTGAGTAAAACAAGAAAATAGTTGTTAACTGAACTCACATTGTCTCAAGAAGCTATGGCTGCCCCATCCCTGGCAGTGTTCAAGGCCAGGTTGGACGGGGCTTTGAACAACCTGGTTTAGTGTGAGGTGTCCCTGCCTGTGGCAGGGGGTTGGAACTGGATGAGCTTTTAAGGTCCCTTCCAACCCAAACCATTCTATGGTTCTATGATTCTGTGTTGCTGGAAAAGAACTACTTCTGCAGGAGTAGCCTCTGTCCTGGATGCTAATTCATGCCAAGACCATGGGACACCAGCCTCTTCCCCTCTGTAGGTGTGCCTCTGAAGTTGTCACAGACAGATGAGCTCTCTGGGAAATGTTATAAACCCACACAGACCTAGGAAAGCAGTGGCCTCATCCTCCTTACCTCATCAATTTTTCTCAATAGAAACATTGTGATGTAGAGCCCCGAACCTTTGATGTGAGGTGGTGTTCCCTGATACTGTATTCCTTTTCAGGTCTGATTATAAACCAGTACAAGTAAGTCCTCAGTGTCAGCTTGCCTTGAGATTCAGGACATTCTCCCCTCAAAATGCATTGAGGTCAGTGACTGAACTTCCTGGGATAGACCTACCTAAAGTAAAGTGACCACTGGTGTTCTCCAATTTTGACTGAAAAAAAGGAAGAGACTAAAATTTTTCCTTTGGGAAGGTGAATAAGACAGATATCCCCGCTTGGGGAGCACATGCTCAATTCACATCCCCACAGTGATGATCTCTGTTAACTTACCGTTACAGAAGTCTCGTTGTAGAAGTCAGTGAAGGAACACAATACTTCTTCAACAGCTGGTAGGCACAGAATGATACCAGGTGCCCAGAGTGGGCCCAGATGCCCAGGGGACTGCAGAACAAGGACAGCCATGAGCGTGGTGGCAATCAGGAAGGGAGCTTGGCCCATCAGGATTCGCTCCCCCTCTGGTGTGACAAGGCACTGCCATAGGGTGAGAGCAGGAGCAGCAGAAGGACTTAAGGACAGAGCTCATCCCGCAGCCCCACAGATCCAGGGTCTCTTGTGCCCCCAGTGGAAAAGTCCCTCTGCAGCAGAGCGCTGGCAAAATCCAACCTCTCCCGGGAAGAGCTGACACCCCCAAAGAGCCATCTCACAGCTTCCTCCCCACCCAACTCACACACCAGCACTTTGGGTTTTATTTTTTTTGTCCCTTTTTCACGTCACATTTTCAAAACCAACACAGACCATGATACCCTTGTTTATAACAAACCAAATCTATGTAAAACGTTTACATTGTGTAGGTCTCTTGTTCAAGACTACCTGTAAAGCATTTACACTATGTAGTTTGCTTGAACGAGTCTTCCTATGGTGAAAGCCTGTGGAATATTACTATGCCTGTAGTCAGAGAAGCAACTATCACCTTTGCTCCTTTACATTCCCCTTGTATTCAAGATGCCCCTGAATATGTAACATCCATTCTCTGTATGCCTAATTTTTATCTCACACTCACATTTCTTTCTCCTTCTCTGGTTTGGAGGAGCATCTGAGGTATTTAACTTCCTTATGGCACTGATACTCCATATACCAAAAGTTCTGCTTCTTTTCCACAACTGAGTGAAATCCAACCCCATGCCTACAGCCAGATGCGTTACCACACTACTCTTGGGTGATACATACAGATAGGAAGAACAAATCACATTTGGGAAGGTGATAGTTACTGGCAAACCTAATTTCTTCCTTAACTAGCAATTGCTTCATAAAAATGAGCATTCCTGATGTACCTAAACCATTTTTTATGTTTCTTCCAGCAGTGGTCAGTTAATCTACAGTTTTCTTCCTTCAAAGAACAGTTATTCAAGTGGATTGACTGTTTTCCACACTTGTGGCCACCTTTTTCCCATCTGCCCATAAAATACATGCATTGCTTATCATCATCTTCCTGCACTCAAAAGGAGTAAGTACAGTGGCCTTCTTTGGCTGCCTTTGACTCAGACTGTGTCAGAAATCTAATATCTGTACCTGTATCTTCACAGCAAACATTTAGAACATTTAAAGGAAGACTTTGGCTTAAATCTCACAAAATGTGACGGTTCTTGCTAACAGATTGAAGGGTCTCTTAATTCAAGCCTCATCCTAGCATTTAACATCCTTCCAGATATTTATTCGGCTAAGCTCTGAAGCAGCTATAAGATGTGGTGGAAAGGAATTAGATCATGGTCAGTACCAGATGGGTGCAAGTTGTTCATGTCCCTAGTTTGTGGAACCACGTGTAGTCCTAACATTCTTACGTTACAGCTTGCTTCTTCAGAGCCAGCTTTTTTTATTTTTTTATTTTTTTTTTAATATACACAGACTTAGAAAAATCTCTGATTTACCTAACAAAAAGCTTTATCTTTGGTGTCTGTGAGAGGTGTCAGTTAAGGGTCTGTAAACAGACCTTATGGATGAATCCCCTCCCATACTGATGGAGATAATACACATTACATATATGATGGAATGATTTCTCAGCTATCATAAGTCTTATCTCTTGGAAGAGGAAGTAACCAAGTCATTCTACTTATTCTGATCCTCAGAGTACAGCATGGTCACTGATTATTGCTCCCTTCTGATCTACGTCAAGAGTGGAATCCAATTAGATTAACCTAACAGGCAGCATTTTACTTCATGAGTAAGTGATTTGCATGCTTCAGTTTAAAAGACAGTAAGTTCCTGAAGCTGCACCAGCTTCAGACTGGTGCAGACTCATTGTTTACGGGAATCTATGCCAGACTTTTATACTCATATCAGAGCAGAGAATCAGGCCAGTCCTGAAAAACTTAAGAGTCACAGAAGGGCAAGTACATTATTACTGGCAATCTGTCCAATTGCTTCCAGGAATAAAACTTCATATTAGTCAAATAAGTCTCAAAACACTAAAACATCCCTCCAAATTCTTTTCTTGGCAGAGATAACAACATGTTACAGCTGCCTATAAATCCCTAGCTATCAGATAGTGGTAGATAAACAGAACTGAATTCTTCAGTGTACAATTATCTGTTACGTTGATGTAATTATCTCTGGGGAGGGATATTCTGAGATAGTCCATTTAAGCAGAAATAATACAACTGCTACAAAAAAAAAAACAAACTATGACATTTTCTGTGGAAAAGTTCATAGATCTACAGTTGCCATGACAACTGTATTTGGCTCTGGAAAAGAGGGAAAAATTACCCTTCTTAGACTGAAGGAAAATAAAACAAGTTTGGATGCACAAGAAAACTGCATTTTCACTTTAGTGTGGAATTGTCCTGCAGTGAGCTTTCTTAAGCTTCTGTTTTCAGATTCTTTCAAAAATTAAGGCTACTGGAATTACAAAGGGTGAGAGCATCTCCCTTTCCCTATCCTTCCAATATCCAGGGCACATTCCGTGGTAATTTGTGTCCCATGCAAATTATGGGTATTTTGTGTCTAGGCAGCATCAAATGAAAGCTTAAAACTTCATCTGATCATAGAAGACGGAGAAGAGGAAACGAGCTGATATATATCCATCTGCTGGGAAAGCAGTCTGAAATGTCTCTCTGTGTCTCATGTGAAGGATAGCCAGGAAGATTTCTTGTTCTGTTGGTGGTTGGAGAATAAAGCAAATTTTAAACCTTTGCTGTTGTGTATCCCTTATCGGCTCTTTGCTTCCAGCACTTGTGTGTGCATATCCCCACCACAATCATGCAGGCCAATGTGATGGGAATCATTGCAACGTACCAGGACAAGCCAACAGCTGGAAAAGTAAAGAAATGGAATATTTTGAAAAAATAACCCTCCCAAGAACATAGTTCTCTAAGTTCAAGGAGGAGGAGGAGAAATCACAATAAAGAGGATGTCTGCACGTTAACCTTCCAGCAGGGCTGATCACCCTGATCAGGAAAAGAAGGGAAAGGAAGAGGTCTATTGATTGAATGCTCTGGGAAATAGCTTTTTATGAAGATGGGAGAAAGACTGGAAAATAACAGAGGGTGAGAATTTAAAGTTCAGTCCTTTTGCAGACACATGGCTCTTCCCAACTCTTATCCAGAGCAGCTGTGAGTTTTCTCTTAATTTGGTGAAAGGAGAGACACTCCAAGCAGGACATAAAAGCACCACCTGGTCCACCCTCAAGCTGCATGATTAATTTTCTCATATAGAGTGGCTTATAAATTACTAATGCTTAAGCCAGGACTCTGAGCTTTTTCCCAAAATACAGCTAATTTCCAACACCAGTGTTCGTCCAGACCGTTTTGGATTATTCCAGCCTATATTGGTTCATGGATTGCCTCCTCTGTAGTAATTCCTGTGTAACTCATGGAAGACAAGAGCAGCACATCATTTAGCAAAGTGGGCCCAAATCGCTCATCAAAGGATGCTGAAGTGAGTCATGAGTTATAACTCATAATGAAGACTGTAAATGTTCATGTGCCTTTCTAAGACAGTGAACAAGCTTGCGTGATTCATCAACGTCATGCAAAGAAACAATTAGCATTGCTTCACATTGTTTTTACAGCTGGTTCTTGGCCAGCAGTCTATCACACTGCAGCATTAATTGCACTGAGCTTAAGGCTTCTCTTCCCATCACCAGGAGCCAAAATAACACCAATCATCATTTACGCTTCTTGTTATTTTGGTGGCAGTCTGTGCATGAGGAGAAGGAACCCTCCGATCTTTATTCTGCTGTTGTCTTTTTTCCTACCTGTTGAGGAACTGGAGGGGATTTGGCTCTGCTGCATCCAGTGGGAGTCTGCCAGTAGTCTCACTGGAGCCATCATTGCACAGAGTGTACCTGAACTGGAGCCCTGTCCAGTGAACAGATATACCTGCACAGATCCTTATCCCTGCAGAAAATGTCACTGAATGACCCACAAAGACTGTATTTTGTGAACAGGTTATTTCAAAGTCTACAGGTGAAGGAGGCAGGTTTTCCTGAAGTTTTCCCCAGGCAGTAATTCATTTTGATACTAGGTCTTACAGTATAAAAGGTTTGTATGATAATTAAGCATTAGAATTATTATAATAATTATCCCAAATAAGCAGTCAAACTAGTTACCTTCCTGCTTGACCCTTGTTGGCAGTACTTGGTATCCATATCTGTTCTGGGCCAGGCATGTAAAGTCTGTGTAAAAATCCACTTCTTCAACAGAATCAAAAATCAGTGGCACTTCAATGAAGTTTTCGCCATTTTCTACCATTTCTCTGGAAGAAAAATACAAATTTAATGATAAATCCTTTTATAAGCTGGCTTTTTTGCCATTTGATGTGTTCGTTCTACCGGCACATTGCAAGAAATTGCATTAGCTATTTGCTCATTTCTGAACTAGGCCCTCAGCATTAGAGGACAACTGTGTCTTCCAAACTAGTTGTGCCAACTGATTGAGTCTCAGCAGTCAGTACCCATCCTGCACTCGTTGACTTCTCCAGGAAAAAAAAATATCTGGATTTCTCTTTCAAAAAGTGAAGAATAAGGAGACAAGAAAGGCAAGCAGAACTCTGTCTATCTTTGCACCCTCTACACAGCAATGTGGCAGTACCTAATTCTCTGACCACCTATTCATTTCTGAGATTAATTCCTGCTATCAGCTGGAAGAGGACATACGGAGAACACAAACCTGCAAAAGCTCACTCAGCAAACTGAAGCACCATCCCTGTCTATCACATGCTCAAAGCCAAGCGCATAGTGCAAGAAACTGTCTAGGAAGTTTCCAGCTTATTTCAACCTGATTGATTGTTTCATCAGTCCAACTATTTGAAAGTGGTTTTCTAGCTGCAGCCAGACATTGTCTGATGATATCTTTTAGTCATTGCTGGAGCAGTTGTACAGATGCTCTTTAATGATCTGGTCATGAGTCTGCTATGCGCTGCGGCAATGTTGTTCCCTGTGCACTCCTCCTGCGACTGTACTGCAGGAAAGAAGCAACACCGCAGTGGGTGCTTTGCCAGAGATTTCTGCAGGGAATCTGACTTCCCAGTGGCATTTGAGCTGTTTTGCCTTTCTTCCAGCAGAACTGGAGTGTCTCACGCACTGTGGGCTCCACAGGAGCCTTAGCTGCCATGGTATCTGTCCTAATGCAATTGTATAATAACGGGAAACAGTAATAATGATAGTGATAGCAATCATAAAAATGATTTTTAAACTCCAAGTAAGAAAGTACATGTGCTGCTCTATTGTAAAGCCTGCAGAGACTACAGCCACAGTAAATTTTATAGCTCATGACCACAGGTTTAAAGCACTGCCACTTTTCATGTAAACAACATTATAAATTAATGGTCTTAATGATGCTGTGGGGAATGTGAAAACACAGAAGGGCTTGGGCATACAGCTGAGTTGCCATATTACCTCTGGCTGCTCAATAAACTAAGCATGGCCAGGTTGTTATCTGGCACTGATAGACACAAATGGCCAAAACCAGCTAACCATAACTGTCCCTCATAATAGGGATGCTACATCCCCAAACTCTGTTGGCAATGGCTCCTCCCCCATGCTAAATCTTAACCAATAGCCAGGAGCAATTCCAGGAAGTTGCTAACTGGTGAGTGACCAATTTAACCATAAAGAACAGAGGCAAAGGCATCCCAGAACCAGGAACCTCCTGGGCTCTGTCCATCACTACAAGCAAAGCCACTGTGGCCCAAGTGAGGGTGATGATCTCGTGGACATGCTCAGCTTTATCAAATGAGAGATACACATGCTGACTTGGACCTCAGTGAAGAGATTTCAGTCGGTAGGTTTACCCCACATTTGCAAAGCATTAGAAGCAAGCCTGAACATAGCAAGTTAGTAGCATGTCAGTAGCATCTCAGGTAGCATGTCACAGGTACAGAAAGCAGATCTTTTTCCTCCTTTCCTAGCTGGAAAATCCTTGAGGCATATGGCTGTGAGACAGCTGAAAGAAGGCTTTTCAAGACTGGGAGAGACAATGGATCAGGGCAAAATGATGTGCGACATCCTCCCTCTCCCTCCCAGCAGCATTTCCCCTAGTGTTTCCCTGGCGCCAGCTCTAGCACTCACTGGGCATCTCTGTGAGTCAACTTAGCTCACTAATTTGGAAAAGAACAAGCCTAAGGGGAAAAACAATGATGTTAAAACAACAACAGCAAAACCCAAACCACTGAGTAGTTTTCTGTTGTTTTAGTGTGTTCAGAGAACCTCATTAATCTCAGGTACAGGATGTCACCGTTTTGCTGGTGTGAAGCAAGGAGAGAGAGAAAGAGAAGCACTGGGAAGAACCAAGTCCCATTGCTTTTCACTGCAGCCAGCTCTTCCATCAGCTCAGCTGCCCATGAAAATGTGCTTCAAGTTTAAGCCTTGCAGCTGGCCCATTTACAATATACCATGAACAAGAAACAGAGACAAAGAACTGATTTCACCCTGTGCGTGGGTTGGGTATGGGGTTTTTTTTTGCTTGCCTCCCTGTTTTTTTCTCAGCTCTCACCTTCACTTCAAATCTGTCCACATCCCATTCCAATACCTGGCATTCAGCTGCACTGAGAGCCCCTGGAACAAGGAAACACTTTAAGCCAGACTTACTGTCGCTCGCCCTCTGTAACCCTGCTTTGCTTGTAAATCACATCAATGGTGGTGTCATTCGCTAGCCATTCCACATCGGTATGGACATGGCCACTCAGTCCAACAAAGACTTTGCATGGGAGAGTCATCTTGGAGCCTGTTGGTAAAAGAAAATGGGCAAAACCCCATTTGGATAGATATGAAGAACTAGTCATTCTCATGGTGAAAACCAACCTCTCCCCTGGGAGATCAAGTTCCCAAGCACGTCAGGCACCACTACATTAAACTCTGAAGTCAAGCCACAGGTTGCTTTTGATTCCCTATTCTTGGCAGCAAGACCCTTCAGTTTGGCAGTCCTTCCCACTGCCAACCAAGTTATTTTCCCATTGCAACAATTAGCTAGTCTTGAACTAGACACATTCCTCAGGAGGCAAAGCTGCGCCACTGTGGCCTTGCTCATTCTGATGTACTGCAGCCCAAATGGCATGATGTGATTTACCACTCTGGAGCAGCTGCATTAGCCAGCAGTAGACTTCACTAAGAGATGCTGTGGGCAGGGGCATTAAACTCAAAGTTGGACCTCCAAGGATAAAGTGATCTTGCGAAAGTTCACAACTTTTGTTACAATTATTGTAACTCAGAGCCAAGGACAAAGAGCCTTTAGGTTGGTGTGTATCTATATTACATGGCTCAATAATGCATACAATTTTATTATTGCACTGGTGCAGATGGTGATAAAAGGGATATAAAACACTCCACAGAGGTCAATAAGCAAAAAAATAAAGTCACTTGGTATTCTACGCTGATGGGAAGAAAAGTGGCAGGGAAAACTAAGACATCAGAGGCCACAGCCGTGTGTATAGTACCCAAGGTAAGAAAGCTGAGTGTAAAACGTACCTGGCATTTTCAGCAGAAAGGAAACACTACATAAATTTGTTGTCATAATATAATCTTCACAGAAAAATTGAGACCCTATCAAGGTACTTTCTAATTATCAATTGCCCAGTTCAAACTGTACAAAGCAATAAATGTCTCCTCCCAAAAGAGCTGGATGTCTCATTCAAAGCCACCAGGTAACCTAGACCAATTTGAGGAAATACTGCAAAAGGAAAGATCTCACTGAAGACAGAGCTCTGGACAACTGATCTAATGGTGCAAACATGCTTTTATTGCCGTTAGTGGCTAAAGTCTACAGCAGCTCTGCAGCTTCTCCTACACGATAGATCACATCTAGTTGTAAACAGTAAGAAGCAGAGACTACTCTGGCACCAACCCTCATGCAATGTAACAGAGACCAAAAGAGCTGCAACAATTCCTGCCAACAAATTACAGCGGAAGTGGCCCTAATATGATTTTTCTCTGATTAGACATTTCCAAAAATAATGTTGGGCCTTACCCAGAGCAGCTGATGTTGTCTTTTGTGTTGGATACACAATTATTGGAGTTATTATCTTTTCTTTTTCTGGAGAGAGAAAGAGAACAGAGTCAGTGCTAGCAGAAGAGAGCATGTGGGCACTGCCCCAGAGCTGTATGTACATATAATGATATAACCATGCCACTTTGCTCAGTATCTCTCACCTCTCAGGAAAGCATTTCATTATTAAACCCACTGGCAAATGGAGACATGCCAATTGCAAGCCCAGAGATTTGTGTTCACTGAATTAGATAGGATTAAGCCTACAGCTTTATCCTGAAAGCTCCACTGCGAGGAATTTCTGGCAGATAAGCGGGCATCTTTTCGAATCAACAGTAAGGTCAGGCACTAAGCTCGGTGAGCAGCCAGCACCGATATCCTTGCACACCCATTTCATACTTGCAAAACCAGAAACGCCACACGCTTAAGCAGAGAACGGATGTGCACATGAACGAAGATCACGTCTTCCGCGCTCCTACCGACGGGCACTAGGACCCAGGCGAGGGAAGCTGCACCCTCTGGTCTGTCACCTGCCACAGCCGCCTCGCAGCTCCCGCTCGACGTGGCGAGGGGCGTGGTTATTGGTCTGACGTTCTGAAGGGGCGGGGCTAGGGGCGGGACGGCGCTGTGAGCGCCGGGGCACGCCCGCCCCCTGCTGGCCGCTCGTCGCAACCGCGCCCGGCGGGTGGAGCGAGCTTCACCCGCTTGCGGGATAGCGGCTTTACCTTGTCCTGGGGAGCGTTAGGTGTTCATTTCCTCAGCCCTCCCAGGTATCGGGAATGACACCCCCCCCGGAGACATAAATTATTGGGTTTTACAACCACATAAACTTGCAGTATGGAGTTCTGCTTTCCGCAAACCCGCGGCAAGTCAGCCAAATCATAGAATCAAGTATGTTGGAAAAGACCTTTAAGGTCATCAAGTCCAACCACTGCCCCAGGACTGCCAAGTCCACCACTAAACCATGTCATAGGGGCAATTTAAATGTTTTTTGAACACTTCCAGGGACAGTGACTCCACCACTTCCCTGGGCAGCCTGTTCCAATGCCTGAGCATCCTTTCAGTGAAGGAATTTTTCCTAATATCCAGCCTAAACCTCCCATGAAGAGGTGACCCAGCCCTGATGGGGGTCCTGGGACAACCCCCAGTGCCAAAGCAGGCACCCCTGGCATCCCCTTTCCCTTGACAGTGCTGAGAGGCCAGGTTCAAGTTCCTCCCCTTAATGCTTTGTTGCATTAACAAAGAAAAGATTTTGTTCAGCACTGTAGTGTTTGAATGGGTTGATATTTACCAACAGTCTTGAGGTGAATTGTTCTTGTGATCTCATACATCACACCTTCAAATGGAAATGACATCTTGCAGGTGTAATAGCCAGAGTCTGCTGGTAGCACAGAATTCATGATCAGAGAAGTTGAACCTTTCAGAATTATGAATTTTCCACTGTCAGCTTCCAAAGGCAAAGAATCCTGGGGAAAGGATAGGAATTGGTGTTATGGCTCAGACAGGTGTGGTTGCACCCCGTGTAACTTCCAAACAAAATCACTTATTCTGTCTCTCTTGTATTAAAGGTTCTTTTAATCACTAGGAAATGTGAGCAGTCCCACTTTCCCACCAAAGGGAAAGATTTTCAAATGTACATCCATCTCTAAAATGCTCTGAGGCACTATATGGATTGAGAAAAATCGCTATTTTAATCTATCATCTACAACGTGTGTGTACAGCTTTTCAATAAGGTGCATATCTTAAGGTGAAAAGGATATAACTGGCTCTTTCATGATTCCTCTTAATCATCTTAGACATTCTTCTAAGACAAAACCATGATGGTGACCATGATGGCCTTCACAACACTATTACTTCCCATACGTGACCTCTTAAGAGTAAAATTCTAAGGCATTCTCTGAAGACAAATACTAGTAATTGTGAAGGTTTTCACAAAACTATTGCTTACTCTACACATGATCACAGAATGGCTTGGGTTGGAAAACCATCTATTTCTAACCCTCCTGCCATCGATGAAGCCTGCCTAGTTATTATGTCCTATGGCAAGAATGACAGCTACATGAGGCAGAGCATATGCTCATAGCAGGAGTGCAAAGAAAAGATAAAGCAAGGTATTACAAAAATACAAGAAGAATCCCATGCTGTCCAGTGTGAGATTGTGCAGCTGAGGATGACCAAGTGAAGCATATTTGACCTTGCAGGCAAAGCCAAGCTTGCCTACTTGAAAAGCTAGGCACTAACAACATTAGGCAAGGAACACTAGAAGCATCGTGTGATGAATCTTGTACTTCCAGATGCTGTATTCCAGTTGATTAATGAAAGTTACCCCACCTGAGCACTTGGGAAGCATCACTGGGAGGTCCTACTTTCTGGGATTCACTAGAGAGGCCACAAAAAGAATCATAGTGCCGAAGTAGCAAACCCTGGAGTCAGGGTAGGTAATCTAGCCTTTAAAATAGTTACACTGCCTGTGAGAGGATATAACATGTGGACCCCTTCACCCAGTGCTAAGCCCACCCCAGAGAAACTTTCTTAAAATATATACATCTGCCCCCAGATTCCCAGGATATTCTGCTGTGCTTATGGCTTTAACAACATGATGTTCAGGAGAGAAAGAAAACGGAGATGTATGTGACTTTACAAACAGGTTGAGAGTAGGCTTTGCACAAAGAGGAGGTGAAAGTTGCACCTTGTACCACTTGAGCTCCAGGTTTGTCCTGTTTGGTGTAAAATCCCATAGCTCAGGGCAAACAATCTTTCCAGAGGTGAAAGTGAAAAGGACCTGGAGATAGGCAATCTCCTGAGCAGCTGTTTTCTCCATGACAGTGAGGTGGATGGAGACCTCAGTGCAGTAGGAGGAGTTCCTGTAGATAGAGTGGGGAGAGGTGAGCACCCACCAGTGGCAAAGGGAACTTGAGTGACAACCTTGAGTTTCCTCCTGGCTCCATTGCCCTCTTCAGCAGGTTCTAAGAGGCCAAGACTGAACTCCTACCAGAAGGGATCCTGGAAAATCACTGGTGCCCCTGGAGTGCTGTAAGCAGATGGACTCACACTACCGCTAGGGCTCTGGGACCTGCCATCACCTACAGGTCAGATACCAAAATCCAAAGCACTTGCTTTGCAGAAGCAGAGATCTGTGATAGTTTGCTTCTTGCATCATGTTACAGAGTGTTGAAAAAAATCTGGTGGCTTCCCTGTGGGATGACTTGCAAAGGAAAGGCAACTTCTACTTTATCAATCTTGTAATAATGCAAGCAGTGAAGCTATGTGCTTGGCTCTTGCATATCTTTCTCAGATAGGTTTCACAGCATTTTACTATAGCTCTCAGTAATACTGCCATAGTGTTGTAGGTTGAGGAACTGATGCAGAATAGCCCAAAAAGGGGGTTTAAAAACACCCCTGAAAGTCTCAAACAACTACTCTGTGCTCTAGGACAATATTTGCAACCTTTTGTTATTCTGGCCTCACTATCAAAGTCTTCTTTTCTGCTCTGCATCTGCAATCTCTCCATAGACATGTGGAAAGGACAACCTGCTGAGTATGATTTGTTAGCTTCTGCCTGTCCATCTCTTCCACTGCTGACATGTCACTCACTAGGGGTGCCTTGCCAGCAAGGAAACTGCACCCTACACAAGCAGGTCCAGTCATACAGGGGTATGTTTAACTCTACAGACCCCAGAGCAAGGTTCCAGTTGCCAGGGAACTTCTGTGAAGATGACTGGATGGAGGAGCTGGGGACAAGGACCTGGAACACCTGGAGCTCAGGCTCCAGTGGCAATGGGTGGTTTTTGCCTTCCTCAGTTCCCCACAGATGCAGATCCTGGTACCTCTTTTGAAACTATATAGCAGCCTGTCAGATTGTAAACACTCAGAAAAGCATGACTGAAAAAAGCCATGGCTCCAGTCTCAACCCACTGCAATGTCACAAGTCTGGTACCAGTGTAGTAAATACATGAGATGGTAGCCAGAGCGGCAATACTGTGTCACAATTATCTCAATTTCAGTATATATATCTATAAGAGACACACAGTGCATTGAAGAGTTCTGACATTCCACTTTTGTTTCTCTAATCTTATCCAGGCATACGCTAAACATAAGTGGAGTTTAGAATCCAGCTAATGTGGTTTTGACATAGTCATCTTGTCAGTACATTGGATTTTCTTTTAAATACCCACCTTCTGGTGCAGATATATACTCCTGAGTCTTCTATCATTGCTGGTAAAAACCAGAGTGCGTCTCCTTTTGCCAATATTCTTGGATCTTCATCTCTTCCTGATATCATGGTTTTTGAACCATTTTTATACCATGTGATATTAGGGGTCAAGGCAGAAAAATCCCAATGTTTGTATCTGGGGGAAGGGCATTTCAGAACCACAGGTTCCCCATGCAGTTCATAGTAGTGTTTGAAATACACGGTGTGATGTGGGCAGTTTTCTATATAAATCAGAGATATTTTTACATTACTATCAACCAGGCACATTAAAAAGGAGAGGGAGACAGAAGGTTAAAAAATACAAGCATGCCCTTACCTGTGCTTTTGACTTGCTGGAGTCTGAAAGCAGAGGCACCCACTGTGCACATCACGAGGATAAAGAAGAGCCCATACATTTTTTCCCAGAGGAAATCAGAAGGAGAAGATCGAGGAAAAGTGTTTTGAAATCTACATGGAAGTTTGTGACAAGACAGAATATACAATGAAAATACTAAACATTAACTTAAGAGGCATCTGCTCTTTTCCTCCCTCCGGACATGGTAAGCTTTGGTTCACCTTTGGGGAGCAGAAAGACTTCTTCATCTCTAGTTTATGGGGGCTGACTTGTGGAACAAGGGCATCTGGCTTGGCAAGAACACATCACTTCTGTCCCTTTCCTTTCATTTTGGGAGATGCAAACAACATACCACAAGATGCTGCTGTCCTCACAGCTTTTCAGTGCAACAGCTACAGGTGGAAAAATACAGCTCTGCTTATTTTGCAGTAAGATGTGACTGAGGCACAGGTCAGCTGCTTAAAGTCAGGTGTAGTGTAGTAGCTTGAGTGAACACAGGACCAAAGATGCAGTGGAATACACTTCAGCTCTTTTAAGCAGTCACTTCAGGTGTTCTATTGCCTTCATTAAATCCTGTGTCTCTTTGTCTTCTCCTCTGTGGCTACCTAGAGGAGACTGCAGGCAAACTCTGCTCTAGCCAGAGCCAAGCTTTCAAAGTCTCCAACAAATGTTTCTCTTGGAATAAAACTTTGACTCCCATGGCATGCACACCCATCTTCCTATTGGTGCACAAGTGAGTTTTCAATGCACACACTCTTTTACCATCTCTGCTAAGAAAGGTGAGGAAACACCTGAACTTGTCCCAAAATATCAGAGGCAGTGATGCTAAGGAAAAACAGAACTACCCACTGCCAGTCATACATTGATTGTCATCTGTATTGGCCTGGCACAGACAAGGCAGCTTCTGCATACATGATTGAATGCTTTCTGGTCTGCCACGAGGTCTCAGTTGCTGCTACTCAGTTGATAGATTATGTGCTATCTCAGTGTATTGCAAGAAATAATAGATAAAAGATGCTATGTACAGGCATCAGTGTATGTTCTATGTAAGGTATTTATGTGCTATACAGTACACATGCATGTTATACATACTATTTCCATTTTACACAGAGAAATGTAAATTGCCTGCATTCAGCGTCAGCCTAATACTATGATTTTCCCCTGGGATGAACAATAAATGTCTGCACAATTACTTCAAATTGTATCCAAAACAAAAAAAAATCATATTTCAACTAATATAATGCAGTCATATTTTTGGGTACTCACCTTCAGGCATCTTCTGTGTATCCCATCATGCTCATATTTATAATGTGGTTTTGATCCAAATTTCTTCCTGTTCTAGTAGCTATATTTATCTGACATCTGATAGTTTGACTATAACATACTATTTCTAGCTTATTATCATCTCTACCATACCAGAAAGCCAACCTCTTGCTCAATAGCACTGTTTCATAACCATGGGTCTTCTCCCTTATTGCTGGTTCTGCAAGAGTTTTAAGGGCACTGGCATGGAGCTGTAGCCCCTCTTGTTTATGCATGGACTAGGCTCCATCTGCGTCGTTAACAAGGCCCATAGTTCATATGTAATACCTTGTAACAGGGAAGTTTCTCTCTCATTAGATCCTTTGCCTAATGAAAATACTGGGATATTTTGTTCAGAGCTTTCTGGTCCCTTTGTTTTAGTATCTATCAGTCTCCATGAGTCCTACACAACCTGGGGGTTTAGAGAGGTTTCATTCCCAAGTTACCATCAGACTCACTTACCTGTGCTTCAGAAGCCTTTCAGCCATTAGCTTCTCATGAAAAGATGCAAGACTGAAAAGTGCTAGTGAGGACCTTATATAGGGTTTAGCTCAACACACGGCGGAAATTTGTCTCTCATTGCCCAATCAGATTTGTGTCAGAAGCAAACGGCATTTTAGACCCACCTTTTTTTCCTTCCGTAGAGTGAGGATGGGAGAGAGAGAAAATATGTATTATTTGGATTTCCCAAAAAGAGGGGAAATGAATGCTAAATATATGACTAAATTTCCCTTTTTCTGACTAATGGTAGTTCACATACACTCATGTCTTCACGTGACTATTTCGTGCTCTGCCTTAAATAAAAGAATCTCATGGGTAACAAAAGGTGTCCTGCAGCCTAGTCAGCAGCTAAATAATTGCAGTCCTTACATAATGTGGTTTAGCAAGTTCTTCATGGACAACATATATCTTTTGTGATTTCCCAGATCACTTGTGAATCACAAATGGGTTGATTACCCCTTCCTTCCACTCATCTTAGTGTCACAGCTTACATTAAGACTCTCTTTGCAATGGAGTATAAAGAATGTTGGTGGGGTGCTGGTCGATGAGAAAATGAACATGAGCCGGCAGTGTGCGCTCACAGCCCAGAAAGCCAACCGTATCCTGGGCTGCATCAAAAGGAGCGTGACCAGCAGGTCAAGGGAGGTGATCCTGCCCTCCTACTCTGCTCTCGTGAGACCTCACCTAGAGCACTGTGTGCTGTTCTGGTGTCCTCAACATAAAAAGGTCATGGATCTGTTGGAACAAGTCCAGAGGAGGGCCACGAGGATGATCAGGGAACTGGAGCACCTCCCGTATGAAGACAGGCTGAGAAAGTTGGGGCTATGTGCTTGGGTTGCACATATTCCTTTGTGCAAGCAGTATCTGCTGTATTACAGCAACTTCAGTAAATAAGTAAAAAGAAGAAAGTCACAAAACCCCATGTTTCAATGTGCAATGGTCTCTACAGTTTCTATATCCTGATCAATGCAGTCATTGCAAGGGTCTCTACAGTTATCAGCCCCACACATGGCTGTCCGGTTTTCCTTAAATAGTTCTGTTATTCACAATCCTAAAAGGCTGATAATGCAACTAAAGTTAGTTATTGCCAGGGAGCACTTCATCCTCTCAATGAAAAGAAAGAACTCATCTCCATTGATGCTAAACTCTCACATCTGGTCTACGAAACCACTGGTCTTCTGAGGAACTGACCTCATGGATTATAGACTTATTTCAGTCCATTCTTTTCCAGTTCACTATATGACACCAGACAGAAGGGCTGTCAGGCTGGGTGACCACTGTTATGTCTAAGTTCAGGCTATCAGTATGTAAGTGACTTATGCAATAGAGGTGGGAGTCTTTAATGGTAACACTGGTCACAAGAGCCAGGCCCAGCAAATAACTCAGAGGCTTACCAGACTCAAAAAGAGCAAAACTTTGGGAAGTGAGTATCGATGTCTTTGGAAAGATTGTACCTACCAGCTGCTGCAAACACATTCGTTGTGCTCACTGAGTAAAGCCATCCAACAGTGAGCTGTTCAGTGAGCAGCAGAGCTAGCATCACCTGCTCTCCTGGAGATACATGCCCCATGCTCTGACACACATAAACCCCTCCACTGCAGCCACCTCAGCTCTCCCCTCATGGCCTTTCCCTACCATGCTCCAGCCCTTTCCTTCCCCCCCCAGATAGCACCCTCTGCTCCCACCTTGCCCATGACTAGTTTGTCTAGGACAGGTGTAGCACAACCATAGGCCCACTCAATACATCCGTGATAACTGGTCATCTTGTCATTGCCCATCACCACACATAAGGACTGGGCTCTGTCTGACTTCTCCTCTTTGAGGAAATGCTTTGGGTTTCCCATTCATAGACAATAGCAGCGTCCAGTTTTCCTCACACTACTACTAACTACAACTCCAGACTCTTTGAAAACACAGCCCCTTGGAAAATGCAGCTGGAGCAGGCTAAAGGGATTAAAGTCAGTTTATGGTGCAATATCATATGCTGACCTGCCTTAGTCAAATAAACTAAACCCAAATATCTACAGAGTAGCAGTGCAGTTCCCAGATAGCAGAATGTCCTCAGATACACCTAATAAGATCAACATTTTCAATAGCCTTCCTTCAGAAGAGCTCTGTTCTAGATGATATCTTTTTCACTCAGAAAACATGCACCAGTACCAGGACTTTAAGTTAAAATAGTGTGTCTGAAGGTACAAAAGTTTGGTTTAAAATAACTCAAGAAGAAATGAAAGATAGAACAAGTATTGAATTTTTTTAGGAGCTGTCTGCTGAGAAGGACATGTCACTTTGTGGTCATTTATGTTGTATTTATAAACAGAAATATGCAAGTCTAGCAACTATATGTATAGGAAGAATTTTTAAGGGAAGCTGGTATCATTCTGTGGTTTTGCTGTGCTGATGATTCATTTATACCGCTTAAGATACTGGAGCAAGGCTGTGAAATTCCTGAATTGAAGACCAGGCTATTCCCCACATGTGTCACTCTTTGCCCATCTCACTAGATCGTTATTTCCCACACCAGGGCTACATGCAGCTCCCTTGCCACATTCAGGTGGATTTTGCTCTCTTAGGACATCCCAAAATAGCCAAAATCTTAAGTAGTATTTAGCATCCTGGTAGTTCCTTGCAACAGAAGCTTCCAAAAAGCCTCTACAAGCAAGGTGTGTCTGTTCATTATCTCTAGTCCATGGAAGGGGAAATGGAAATTCAGGCATCATGGAGTGGGGATAAGACCATTTCTATAAGGGACAGTTAAGATACCAGCTTTTTCAGCAACTCCCAGTTGCTTTCAGCAACTCCCAGTTGCTTTTTCAGCAACTGTCTGTCCTGGAGGAATTCACCAAAGTGGTTTTGTGGCTGATGATGTTTGGCATCCAGGAGCTGCACTCACATGGACTTTGCTGTTTATTCTATTACTCTGTTTGGCTGAGCCAGCTTCATGCAATTAAAAATAGGAGAAAATTTCTCTGGTTCACATCAGAATAAGGTGGTGAGACATTAAGAAATATTGAATGTTGAAAGCTAACTGGCAAGCAGATGCAAAGTAAACCACAACTATTGCACCAACACATGTTCTTGGGCTTACTGATATAGGCAAACCTGGTTTTAATAATTTATAATGTCCTTGTGCACAGTTCCCACATGGTCTCTTGGGGAGCATAAAGATGGAGAGGGAAGAAAAGAAGCTATCCAACTCTGAGAATCACCAAATAGATGGGACAGAAAGAGAAAGACTAAACAGAGGAATTAGCCCAATGCACAACAGATGTCAAGAATACAGCAATTTGCATGCTTATCCAGAGAAATAATGCTGTTATATAGCAGCTGCACATGACTGACTTGGAGAAAGAGGAGGAGATGGGCCAAGAGATATACACTTTGTCGGGGAGTGCTCGTTTGGCCAGAGTGGCAACAGCTTGATTACAGATTGCCTCCCTGCTATGGGCTCCTGGGATTTCCACAGACCCTTTCAGTGCACAAGAAACCAGGCAGGCTGTGAAAAGCAATTACACTGTCAAGAGCTGGAAGGGGCAGGGAGGGGGAGAACCTCACCATGGAAGTCAACAGGCTGCAAGGGACAAAGTAATGGCTAAAAGGCCCAGATCCAGCAGCAATGAGGCCAGAATTACATCAAGGAACAAAAAGTGCCTCACTTGCCCTCACCACAAATGGCGTTCGGGTTGACCGAAGGTA